TTTAAAGTTATAATATATTATAATAGATGATAAATAAGTATTACATACTTATTACATTATCTTTAGTTAGCACTAACTAATATATCAGAATTTTATTTATTCATAATACTTGCAAGTTATTATAAAAAGTTTGTAAAAGAATTTTTAGTAACTGTATAGTACTATTATATAAAGATAAAGATTATAAATAGTTTATTTAAGTATAATAAGTATTTGAAACTCTTAAATAATATTTTATCTTAATATCAATCTTGTTATTATCAAATTCAAAACTATAATTTATAATTATTACAGATACTTTAGATTTTATAGTAGAAGTCATATTAAGTTAAAACCAAGACAAGGATGATTAGCTAATAGTTTTTGAATCAAGAAAATTATTATGAGCTAAATAAAATTATTTAGTTTATAAGAAAGAATTACTTGTAATAATATATGCTATTAAACTTTGAAATTATATCTTAAAAATCAAAAATTTACTGTTATTATAGATTATATCTTTCTGAAATATATTAAAATATAATATAATTTTTTCAAGAAATAAACTTACTAGTTAGAAATCTTATAAACCAGTAATTTTAAAGTAAAATATAAATTAAATAAAGATAATATAGTTATAAATATACTTTTATATTAATCATATCTAGTTAATATTATAATTATTATCATTAATCTAGTCAATAAAGAAGAATTAATCAAGAAATATAATAATAATAAATATTTTATTAAAATTTATAAAGTTCTAAAAAACTTTAATAGTATTATATTTAAGTAATAGACTAAAGTTAAAAACTTTGAATTAAAAGAAAACTTATTATATTTGAAGACTAATTATCTAGTTATATCAGATAATAAAAATTTAAAGGCAAAAATATTGTTTGAATTTTATAATATATTAATTATAGTATATATTGAAATTGATAAGATATATATATAATAATATTTTAATAATTCTATTAGCCAAAAATAAATAAAAGTATTCACAAATATATTATTAATTATGAATCTTATTAATATAATAAATCTAGTAATCAATAACTCTTAAGATTATTATAATCACTTGTTATTCCAGAATATAGATAAGAATACATTATTATAAATTTTATAATTTAACTTCTAATTATTAAATCTAAATATGATATAATAATTATATTTATAAATAAGTTATTAAAAAGAATATACTTTATATCAATTATAATAATAGTAATAATATTTAATATTACAAAGATATTCTTTAAAAATATCTTTAAATTACATAACTTATTCATAATTATAATATTAAATAGAGATATTAAATTTACAAGTTATTTTTAAAAATCTCTTTTTAAATAACTAGATATCAAATTAGTAATGTTAATAATATTTTATCTATAAATTAATAACTAAATAGAAAGACTTAATAGAATCTTGAAAAAAATATTCAGACTTTATATTATCTATTATCAAAACAAATGAGATGAAAACTTAGTAACTGTAGAATTTATCTATAATAATAGCAAAAATACTTTAATAGAATATATATTATTTAAATTAGATTATGAATAGATATCTTACATATCAATTAATATTCTATTGCTTTAAAATAATATCACTGTCTTTTATAATTTCATAAAATATTAAAATATTATGATAAAGACTACTAAAGATCTATTATTAGAAGTTTAAAATAGATAAAATAAATATATAAATTAATATAGAAAATTTGAAGAATTTAACATTAGAAATAAAATTCTTTTCTTTACTTATAATTATTTATTATATAATTTTTATATTAATTTTAATCAAATTTTATATAATAAAATTTAAAAAATAATAATTTAAAAAAGTTTATATTAGTAAAATTTTTTTTATAAAAGATATATAAGAAAATTTTTATATTTAAATAAATTTCAATATTTAATAGCTTTATTAATAAGATAAAATTAAAATTTTATTTGAAAAATAATTTATTAATATTTATTTAATATACTAATCTTTTTGTACTAGATTATATTTATTTTATATTCTTTTTATAAGTTTATTTATCTAAAACTTATATATTTCTATCTTTCTTTTCTCTTAAATTTAAATAAGCTTAAATATTTTAATTATTTTTTAATACTTATATACTTCAAAGATATTTTTCATAAGTAATTATTAAAATTTCTCTTAAATATTAGTTATTAATAATTTATTATAATTAAATAAATACTTATAAAAAATATATTAATAAAAAAAGATAATAAAAAAATATATAATAATAATTTAATAATATTAAATTTAATAATAATTTTTCTTTTATAATCTTAAAATTATTTTATTTAAGATTAATTTTTGAATTAAATTTAAAAATTTTTGAATTTTTTTAATAATTTTATTATAATATCAATTATAAAAATTTATTTTTAATAAAAATTAAAGATAATTTTTTTTGAATTTAGTTATTTTTTAATAATCTTGTAATATATATTTAATAAATCAAGAAATAATAATTTAATAATGATAATAATGAAAAAAAATAATATAGTTACTTATTAATTAAGCTATATTTTCTTATAATTAATCTTTTTAATTTACTATAAAATAATTCTAATAAATTTATAAAAGTAACTTAAAATAAGAATAGTAAATTTTAATATATTTAAAATATTTATTTCTTTATATTTTTTAAATAATTATATTCAATATAATAAATAATATCTTAAATAAAATAATTATAATATTATAAATTACTTTTTTATAATTTATACTTATTCTTTTATATATAATTAAAATTAATTTATTATATATTATTAAATAATAAATATTATATAACTATATATATATTATATAAATAATATTATAATTTTACTTGCTATATATAATACTAGAAAAAATATTTATAATATTATTTATATATCAAAAATATTAATAAAATATAAATTCTTAAATTATCTTTAATATCTTAATTATTATATTATTATCTTTATTATTTAGAAAAAAATATATATTTATATTCTAGAAATCATAATTATTATAAATATATAAAATAAATAAATATCAAAAATATTTATTAATATTATAAGTAGAGTTTATAAATATAAGTTTATTTTCACGTGATTTTTAAAATCACATAATACGATTCGAATCGAATCACATGTCACATATACTACTTCGCTTTAGTAAAATCCTGATTATAGATATCACGCATCACACGAATAGTACACCAGCTTGAACAACTTATCAATTTTTACGTGGGAATGAAGAAGACCTGCAACTTGACGATGACGATTACGCAATCCTCCGCAATGAAAAGATCACTGGTCGTGGTTTTTTCAAGTTAACCGAACAAAAGTTTAGAGACGCTAGTTTCAAAGTTGGACCTGCAACGAATCTTGCAGACTTCGCCAAGGAAGTCAAAGAAAAAAAATTGAAAGCATATTCATCGTATAAAACTGTGAAAGATTTTGAAGGGGTCGAAGAGAAAGTTTGGAATCGATGGCAAAGAAATAAGTGATATCCCACAGTTCTATCCTGGTAAGTTATTTATTGTTGTATCGTTTTTTCCAAGTCTCAAGGATTAACATATGTATTTCTTTATAGTAACGGAGAAACTCGAAGAGAATGATGAAGATTTACAATATTGTATAGACGACATTAAATATAGAATGGTCGACATAGGCTCAGCAACAGGCAGTAATGAAGCCCTGCGTTGCGAGTACATTTCTACAATATTACATTCATGCCTTTATATTGCCGGAAGAACCACCAAAGATACAATCGTCCTAAAACCCCAGTTAGAAATCGCCGGTGATGAAGCGTCAGGTCGTGTTGACTATGCTATCAAAAAAATAAAAAAAGTTGCCAAATATGAAGAACTTATTTGCATTACTGAAGGGAGCTGTACAAGGGATATATGCAAAAAATTATGCAACTTGATAGCGATTACCACACAAATAAGAGAAACGAAATCATAATGAAGCCTTTGATAATGAATTTGACTATCTCTATGGTATTGTTAGTACAGGTAAGTTATAAAGATTAATTATTAACATAAAATACGAATTAACAAAAATAATGAATTATAACTTTATTGATAGTAGATATTGATATAGAAATAAACTAGATGAAGCGTGATCTCAAGCTCACAGGTGCAATATGTGATGCAGTAACTATCATTATGATTCTCCCAAAACTTTTGAGATTATATAATCGATATCATCCGAGCTTAAGCTAGAGATAGATGATGCTGAAAAAGTTTTAACTTGACTTATTTCTTCTTTACCAATCACATTAAATAAATTTCCGGGTCTTTTCAGTTCTTTTACGAAGAGTCTCCTTTATAATTTTGTTAAAAATTTGAGTACGAAGCTCGAGATTAAGAAGAATACTAGATGTATCACTATTATGAGTTCTTTTAAGTTTCTTATATCATTCTTTTAAAGCTTTACCAAAGTCAAAATACTGACTAATTACTTCTTGATTTGTAGTATCATTTTTTCAATTCAGCATGGATGATCATACTAAAGAAATATAAAAAATTATGAGACTGGGATTTACTATTGGATTTTTCATTACCCTCCTCTTTAAAAATTTCCGAAATATCAGCAGATAATTCTTTGATGAGTTTTTTCAGAATACCAGATTCTTTCTCTTCTTTCTCATCCTTCAAGATTTTTTGCTGGACCTGACTTCTATTCTCTCTACATTAAACTTATTTGCTTAATATAAAAATTGCACTTCTGAACCAATAAAAAAACTACCGCAATCAGGACAACGTGGATCTGATTTATTTGCAAAGAAATTTCTCAAATTATGAGGGATGTCAAAAGAATTTTGCCTTTACAGGATATATAGAGTTTCTGCTCAGGAATTGTAATATCATTGAACTTGATTTTGTTTATTCTCATACCTCTAAATTTATTTTGGATAAATTTTATTCTAAATCATCTAATTTTGGAGATATTTTTCAAGCTGCTTATAATGTTGCATATTATCTATCTCGATTTCTTTTCAAAGCTGCTCAAATTTTTATCCACATTATCCTAAATTATCTTTAATTAATCGTAATATTTATTAATATAGTAATGAAAATTTTCAATGAGTTTTAATTACTTTATTATATTGTAATTTTATTTAGCGAAAATTAAATATAATCTTCCAATTTTTTAGGAAAAAATAATATCAACTTTATCTCTTTTTAAGTAATATAGCTTTTGATTAAAATATTTCCACCTTTGCCACGCACGCAAGTATGCCACGTGATTTTGTTGACGCTTCGGATTTGTTTTGCCGGGTTGATCAAAAATTTGCGTGGCTGATGAGCATTCTTATTGGTGTAACGCATAACGCGTGTGTTTACAGTAAATAAATAAACAAATCTTAAAAGGAAACAGCAACACAAATCACGCGTGTTGTTTTTAAATATATATATAGAGGGGGGGGGGGTGTCATTAGAGACACACTACCTTTCTTTTTCGTCCTTGGAATTCCTAAGAAACGACAGATTTCTTTACATTAATAATACACTACCCTTATTCCGTTTCTTAGAATTCCTTCCTATTCATTTTAATTGCTAGCTAGGTTGCTTTACGTTTCCGTTTACACCTCTATTTTATTTCGTATTTTTTTTTAACTTTGTAAAGATATACTCACAACTTTTCTTTTGAGCAACAAACGACGGCAACCACAGCAACGCGTGTTTTCTTGTTTTTCTTTTGTGGAATCATTTTAGTCGTTTAGCAACAACACATTCAGAGTGTATACAACCTTCTTACACCTGCGGTACACCCAGGTTTGACGATCGCCTCTTCGTCTTGAAAGCATGGGAGCGCGTATACCTTTGCTTGGGGGTGATGTTAATACTGAAATGTTAACCAACAAGAGAGGACGGAGGACATCGCGTTGCTTTTTCTTTATTTAACGATGGAAATTCGGTAATATTTTTCCTTTACTTCTGTTGTTTATTTTGAATTAATTGCCTTGCACACTACACTTGAATATATCAGTTCCTTGCTGGAACAATGCAATTTGAAAGGTAATTTATTATTTTCATTTCTTTGTTCTGTTTTCATATGGAATTCATATATCGAGCAAGTCTAACTCCATTAATACATTCATTTTATTACCGGGCAAGCTGGGGCTTTGTCCTAGCTTTGCCATTAAGGAACCAATGCGTTTTACAACGACGACGCCTAAACCGACAACCACACGTTTCACCCTCCATCATCACCGCGTACAATCCAACAGGTCGACTCCACCTTTAATCTTGTCCGACAAAAGAGGCTTAGAGTGCATGACGTTTCCTTGTCCAGTGTAATACAGCAAGATGGTCTATAAGGCGTTCTCTGTCCCGAAAAAGAGGTCTTTTGTAGTTCCGGGTAAAAGGCGTATTTCGGTCTTCAACATTCATTACGAATTACATCAATCAGTGCGTCGGCGTGCAACGGTTCCTAAATTCAGCCCTTTGGGTGTAGCCGGGTTAAACACCCCTACGTTGTCTCTGGCGTAGCCTCGGACCGTGGACCCGGTCTATTGTTCTCGCCTCACCGTGGCGACCGGGTGGCAGATATACGATTAAAATTAATATATCTGGCTAAGGAGAACAAATTATTTTGCCGCGGTTTTTCTAACGACATTAAACTAAATTAGTGGCGAACAAGTTGTAATTTTTATAGCTATTGAATGTTATGTTTTTAGTGATAACTAATGAAGAACGTATACATATGCGCACATAAATTTAATAATATTTACGTATATTGTGAATTTATTTAAATTCAAAAGAACTCGCACATTTCTAATTTTGAAATAATATTTAACACATTAGTAAAGAAATGAACTTGTAAAATCTGTTATACAAAGGCAATCCCGTTTAAGTAAATCTATCGAATTCAAAATTTTTTTACTAATAGCATCGGCCACCCCAGATTTAGGAAGATAGCTCACTAAATCATAATAGGATAAACAAGGTTCATCAAATCCAATAGATCTTCTATGTTTTACAGCCGGCTTAGCAATTATCTTCTCCCCCATTTAGTGCTCTTTCTACAGTCTCGTTAGGAGACATTTATTTAGCCGAGTAGGGGAATATTAAATATATCATCATTAATACGAAGGCTTCTAACCCAATCTCTCAGAAGATCCTTAGCATCTTGCCGAATGTAAGCATGTTTTTCAAACTCTGGGTGATCACGCTCAGCTATAGCATTGCCTTCTTTCGAGTTAGCATATTGATTTTTAGCACCATGATTATGCAATAAATTTTTGCAATCACCCATATATTCAGTTCCTCTATCAGATTTAAAAATTATAGGCCAAGAAAGAGGATCATCATAAATTTTCTGAATCGCTTTAGCCATTTATGCTGATAGTTTA